TGGGGGCGTGGCTGGCAGGTGGACAGCTCAGGGCCCCGCCCTCCCGCCTTCGGTAGCTGTCCACAGTTACTACGCACAGAACGATGTGGTGACCACTGACAACCTGGACTTCCGGCACCACAGCTACAAGGACATGCGCCAGGTAGGGCGCTTGTCTCTGGGCCGTGGAGGCCTGTCCGGAGGCTGGGGTCAGGGCTCACGGGGAAGCTTGTGTTCAGGGCTCCCATCCCAGACCCAGCCTGCCTGAGAGGGAGGTTGGCCGGCCGTCGCCTCAGGGAAGGGAAACCTCTCTCTCTGGTGCTGGTACCCGAGAGGGGCTGGGTCGCCTGCCGGGGCCTCTCCTACCACAGACGCCTGGCCCATGGAACAGACCAGGGTGCTGGGAGAGGCCTGGCACTCCCTGCATCGCGGGCTGCCTCCATGGGCGGCGGGTTGTGTAATTCAGTGTCCTCTCCCGCGCCCAGCTGATGAAGGTGGTGAACGAAGAGTGCCCCACTATCACCCGCACATACAGCTTGGGAAAGAGCTCACGCGGGCTCAAGATCTATGCCATGGAGATCTCGGACAACCCCGGGGATCACGAGCTGGGTGAGGGCCCCATAGCCCCCTGGAAGCCTGCCCTCCCTGGCATGGGTTTGAGCAAGGCCCTGGCATTGCAGCTGGTCCCTGTGCCTGTCTCAGGAGCCTCTCTGGGGGTCCCAGTCTGCCTCGCTGGGCCCCACAAGCCTCAGCGGCCCCCATTCCCCTGGGTGTGAGCCAGCGTGGGTCCTTCCTCCGGGGCCCGGGTGGTTGCTGAGGCTCCTGCCCTTGCAGGGGAACCCGAGTTCCGATACACGGCTGGGATTCACGGCAACGAGGTGCTGGGCAGAGAGCTGCTACTGCTTTTTATGCAGTACTTGTGCCGCGAGTACCGGGACGGGAACCCGCGCGTGCGCAGCCTGGTGCAGGACACGCGCATCCACCTGGTGCCCTCGCTGAACCCCGACGGCTACGAGGTGGCAGCGCAGACGGTGGGTGGGGGAGTGGAGGGGTGGGGGGGGGGGACGCTGGGCTGGCGGGTGGGAGAGGGGGAGCGGGGCCGGGCCGGGCCAGGGGTGGGGGGCAGGTTGACACCAACCCCACTGGTTCCTCCAGGGCTCCGAGTTTGGGAACTGGGCGATGGGGCTGTGGACTGAGGAGGGTTTCGACATCTACGAAGACTTCCCAGATCTCAACTCTGTGCTCTGGGGAGCAGAGGAGAGGAAATGGGTCCCCTACCGGGTCCCCAACAATAACCTGCCGATTCCTGAACGCTATCTCTCCCCAGATGCCACGGTGAGGCAGCAGCCTGGCTAGCAGGCCTGGGGGAGCAGCCTGGACCCTGGGGTCCTGTCTGGACTTGGGGGTGGGCGGGCGGGTGACTGAGGCTAGGCACTGAGCCTGGTGAGGCTTGGGGGCACAGAGGGGGCATGAGTACGGGGGGGCGGTCCACAAGGAGGGCGATGGTGGAGGCTGTGGCTCAGAGCTCATGCAGTGGCCGTCCCCAGGTGTCCACGGAGGTCCGAGCCATCATTGCCTGGATGGAGAAGAACCCCTTCGTGCTGGGGGCCAACCTGAATGGCGGTGAGCGGCTCGTGTCCTACCCCTACGACATGACCCGAACGCCCACCCAGGAGCAGCTGCTGGCCGCGGCCATGGCGGCGGCGCGGGGAGAAGACGAGGACGAGTTTTCTGAGGCCCAGGAGACCCCGGACCATGCCATCTTCCGCTGGCTGGCCATCTCCTTTGCCTCTGCCCACCTCACCATGACGGAGCCGTACCGGGGCGGGTGCCAAGCTCAGGACTACACCAGCGGCACGGGCATCGTCAACGGGGCCAAGTGGAAGCCCCGGTCTGGGAGTAAGTCCGCCTGGGAGGGGCCGGGGGCGCTGTCTGGGGGGCCCGGGGTGACTGCGGCTCTGTCTGCCCCTGCACAGCCATCAACGACTTCAGTTACCTGCACACCAATTGCCTGGAGCTCTCCATTTACCTGGGCTGCGACAAGTTCCCCCACGAGAGCGAGCTGCCCCGAGAGTGGGAGAACAACAAGGAGGCTCTGCTCACCTTCATGGAGCAGGTGGGGGCGGGGGCGGGGGCGCAGGGCTGGGGCCCCGAGGGAACTCACAGCAGCTGCGCCACGCGGTGGGGCCTGCCTGGGGACACCCGGCCTCGCCTCCCTCTGCAGGTTCACCGTGGCATCAAGGGGGTTGTGACGGACGAGCAGGGCATCCCTATCGCCAATGCCACCATCTCCGTGAGCGGCATTAACCACGGTGTGAAGACAGGTACCTTGCGTGCGCCCGGCCGCCCCTCCTTTCTGAGGGGCGCAGCCAGATCTGTGCGAGGTCTTGGCCAGACGCACCCCCCAGAGGGTCCAACCGAGGCAGAGGGAGGGCTGGCGGCTGGGAGGGGGCGTCTTGGGCGGCAGCACCCGGCCTCCCTCTGCAGCGAGCGGGGGTGACTACTGGCGCATCCTGAATCCGGGTGAGTACCGCGTGACGGCCCACGCCGAGGGCTACACCCCGAGTGCCAAGACCTGCAACGTGGATTACGACATCGGGGCCACCCAGTGCAACTTCATCCTGGCCCGCTCCAACTGGAAGCGCATCCGCGAGATCATGGCCATGAACGGGAACCGGCCCATCCCGCGCATCGACCCCTCGCGCCCCATGACCCCCCGGCAGCGGCACGTGCAGCAGCGCCGCCTGCAGTACCGTCTGCGCATGCGCGAGCGGATGCGGCTGCGGCGC